GCCCTGTGTATGTAAAAATGTGCTCCCTCACAGCCAATGAGCCCTGTGACTGTAAAAATGTGCTCCCTCACAGCCAATGAGCCCTGTGACTGTAAAAATGTGCTCCCTCGCTGCCCTGAGCCCCGCGAGTGTAAGAAGGTGCTTCGCAGGACGAGCTCTGCGTCAACAAACGTGCTCTGCAGGGGATTGCTGCGTTAACAAGCCCTCTAGCAATGTGCAGGCACCTCTTCGTGGTGTTAGAGACCAGTATTCGATATTCAACAGTATTCGAAGAAGCAAAGACCTGCCCAACCTCCTCATAGTCTGTTTCTTTTTCCGAAGGATCATCATTGGACAGATAGAATGAGCCCTAGACAGATCGTCCCAAATTCAATGGCCAACATTATATAACAATGAAAGTGTCATTTTTATCAAAGGGGAGGTTCCCAAATGTTCTGCACTGATGGTTTGCGGTCCGATAGTCCTTTCGCGTAGTGAAATTGACACCCTTCATTCAGGCGTAGGGCAAACATGTTGGTGAGAATTGGTGAGAGTGTTGATGTGTTGGTGTTTTGATGTGTTGAGAGTTGAGAGTTGATGTGTTGATGCGCGTTGATGTACTGATGTGTTGATGTGTTGATGTGTTGATGTGTTGATGTGTTGATGTGTTGATGTGTTGATGTTGATGTTTGATGTTGATGTTTGACGTTGATGTTTGATGTTGATGTTTGATGTTGGTGTTTGATGTTGATGTGGTGAATGGTCGGGCGGTGAAGGGAGTGCTGGTCACCGTCTCACAGAGGCAACGCGGTCTCTTGCCATGTCCCCCACATCATAGAAACTTCAATTGCCTTTTTTTTTTTTTGATCCTCCAAAGCAATTTTGATCCCTGTTGGTCACACCTTGACTATGGCCTCGAAATAATTGTGCAACTCTGATCACGCAATATACTGTACACTCAAGATCAGAACTAGGAAGTGTAGAGCCATGTGATGTATTTCGTAAATCCGAATCACGGATTCAATCCAAGATGATTATGCGATAGGCTCAGTTTCTTGCGTCGCGAAAAAAATTGCTTGAAATGACTATTGCTAGTCACCGGAACCTATTCTACACTAGAATGCCTACATCATAGAGCGACTACGAGAGTGAGAGTTTCGTTCTCTCGAGGTTAACATGTCATTGGTAGCTTTGGCTCGGGAATATCTGACCCGCTCCTTCTACATGTAGGAGCCGTCGCAACTTTGTGAATAATATCCCGCCAGTAAATCCAACCAATCTCTCGTGGAAGTCCACTACAGCGACGAAGAAACGGTCGTTACCTTCTGTGAGGCTTATTCCCCACTACATGCGATAAATCATGCTCCGCTGTTGATATAGCATGATTGATTTCTGATCGGGGCCCAACGAGCCATCTGAAATCAGAACTGGTAAAGACACTCTCCACGATCACCGCTCAGGACCTGGTAATTTGTACAGGGGTGTTCTCACCCACGTGTGACCCTAGCAAGCATCCACTCAAATCCTCCCCAAGCAAATGTAACATGAGCGCTTATTGGGGTAGATAATTCGTATAGGCTGTACGGGACATTCAGAGGTCCTACAACCCGAGGGCTCTTGTGGTGCTGTTACAGACATCAAACCCACCTTCACGGTGAATTGCTCAACAGTGATATGCCAGATATCGTCTTGGGCGCGGAGAAATACATCATAGATGGTCAAAGCACAGTGAGCTCAGAGACGTAGAGGAATCGGTGATTTGCTGGCAAGACGTGCTTGCGCCTCCAATTGCGATATGTTAGACGACGGTCTCAATGGACGAAGGATACTGGATAACTTGACTGACCTCCAGCTGCTCTGACATTCAAGGTGTATGGGCTTTGCACGTAGTGCTCGGGCTTGGATAGGAAAACGCAGGCGTAGGAATGAAATCGCCAACCTTCTGTCTAACAGGGAAAAGACAAACAATCCTGATAGCATGCAGCTTCGTGTAGGTCCGAGTGGTTCCCGCTCGCTCGTACATGTCGACAAGCTCAGCAACGCGGAGAGGAAGAGGGTTCAGGGGTACTCTATCAGACGGGATCTTGGGTCATGTGTCCTCTCTTTCGTTTGGCCCCTCGGTTTTGTCCATCGATTCGAAGCCGACATGGCTATTGTTAGTCCATTCGGCTAGAGATGACGGGACCTTCGCCTCACATTCTCCTTGCAAGCAGACTCGCTCGACGAACAACCTCGCCGTCTGCAAAAGTACGGCTCGCCCGCTTTGAAGCAGACAGAAATACCAGAACTTCTCGGCGTCTTTCAAAGTTCCATGCTCGAAAGACACCAGACGCCATCTGAGGACAACGACGTTCAGCCATTAAGACACCCGGATCCAATCCATGAAAAGGCTATCCTATGAGGGTGTTCGAATGCCGAGAGACGGACAGTGGTATGCGTTCATTGAAATTTGGGTCTTGCGTCAGGTAGGCATACCATACCAACGCATGATCTGATGCACTAATTCGCTGGAAGAAAGGTCGAGGTAGTGACTCCGATGCCACCAGTAGTCAGGTGGAAGCTATAGACAGCATGCGGTCGTATTGGTGTGGGGGAGCTTGAGCAGACAAGGGATTTTCTCGCTTTGCATTCGAGTGGTGGGAATCTGAGGGTGTCTTCCTGTTGTGGGCTCCGAGTCAGCAAGTATTGTCCAGCTGGGCGAGGTAATGTGCTTTACGTTGTTCATGAAGAATCCGCCGAGTGTACGCTTGAGGCCGATGATCGATCAGGATCGTGATCATACCAGCTTACCGACTAGATCACTTCCAATTCTCTTTGGCAATGCGGTCACCATTCACGCCATGTTGTATTCATGTTCGTCGCACTCTCGGGCTGTCGCTTCGAGAAGCCGCGCTGGGTGCACCGGGCAAGTTCCCGTCACAAACACAACGATGACAAGAAATTGTACAGTGGTAATGGGAGACCCTTAGTGTAGGTGGCGAGAGGTTGAGGCACTCTTATGTTCAGGTGTGAAGGCAGGGTTTGAAGGTGGTGAGGAGGAGGGCGGTAGACGCGATGGAGCGCGTCGTCGTGACTTATCTAACTCGGCGGGAGTAGTTAATCGCACAAGAGTGTTCCCAAGTGCAAGCGCTGCTCCTACAACGGCATGAAATGTCAGTGGTGTTCCTGTTTGGGCAGAGACTTGGCCCAATTACTCGGACCCGGTGCAGCGGGAGAGGCGATATTTCACTCACCTTATCGTGGACAACGAATGTCTCGAGCTTATGCCTCCTGTTCTTGGCCCACGACCTTGGCTTGCAATGGTCCACATCGGTAACGCTGCATGATTTGAAGGGGCAGGACCAGAAATGGTATACAAGCAATGATTTGCGCGGAGGACTGACGGGGGTGCTCGTTCGGACTCACTCTGGTGCGCTGTCAACGGTTTTTTGCCCATCATCAGCTTGTAGATCGGAGAGGTATTTCGTGACTCACATGTTCTGAAGGTCAAGACCAGGGAAGAAGAGACGAGAAAGACCTCCGTGGTTTTTGCGCAGGTGTATATTGGCCGGAATGCACGGATCTGGTTGTTTCACATCATCTTCGAAGTCAGTTGAATTTGGACAGTATCGCTGAGATTTACAGACCTGTATGAAAACCGCACTTTTGCATCGGGGATAGATCCAGGGGCGGGACAGTAGGTCGGCTGGTATGGCGGAGAGAGATGTTCGCATAGACCCTTGACCAGCTAACCCAAATCTCGTTTCTTAATGGGGCATAGGTGGCACAGTGGACCTGGTGGGAATCACGTCTCTCACAGACACTTTCTAGCTTACGGGTCCACGATGTACCATAGATGTCAGTACAGTGAAAATTCCAGTAGGGGTCAAAGGGAAGAACTTATCAGGTACCTCAAACGCAAGGCCTGCTCGACTTTGCGCAGTCAAGAGATCGAACTGTAGAGCAAATCGCTGGGGGTTGAGCAGGTATTTATAGATTTCTCGGCTCATCCTGTCACATACGTGCTCTGCTAGGCACCAAGCGTTGAAGGACACCTATCCTAATTGAGGCCTGTTGAAACCCATGTCTTCTTTTTATCGCAACTATTTGGGTCGACATTTTTGATGCCTTGAGATGCTCAGCGAGAGAGACGAGCAAGAGTCGTGTTGAGGATAAGGGATGCTGAGTCGGTCAAGAAACGTTGGCTGACTGTTGAATCCTTCACGGCCCACTTACATTGAGGTTTTTTAGTGAATTGGAGATATTCAACCAGCAATGACAGGCTCATGTTTCTTGTTTCGGCCACCTCATCTATAAGCGGCCCAACGTTGAATCACCCAAGGGTGCCTACAATCTCATCCTAAGGACTGGTGAGCTGTATTTTTCCCAGCCTCGCTTAGTGTTGGTAGTGTTGAGGTGTGGGTCACGGTCACTTGCGCCGATCCGTGAACCTCGTTGAAGCTTGGCCCTACATCGACTCAATATTTTGAACTTGTAAACATCATGTAGGTGTTTTGGTTAGATTTTTTTCTTTTTCTTTTTTATTATTCTAACTTTTAGCCATTTCGTCTGTCAGAGTTCAGAGGCCTTCTTCGGACGCTGAAGATGTGTCGGCTTTCAATATATATTTCTTCACCAGGGAGTTGTTGAATATAAAACACACATCTTCAACGACATCGCAGTTTACCTCCATATGGCACTCCATGCCAAAAATTACGCATATGTGAGTCCCACATTACGTACGCATAATTTCTTTTTCAACTGATTATGTGAGGTATAGATGAAGGCGTTGAGTTGCCTCAGACAATGATCCATATTAGTTGGTCGGACTACTTGGATTTTTCTTCAGCACAACTTGTACCAACCCGACCTCTCGTAATCAACCCCCGTCCCCCCAAATGCCTGCGTAAAAACGAAAAAAAAAAAAAAAAAAAAAAAAAAAAAAAAAAAAGGAAAAAAGAAATACCCTCCAGGTATTGACATTGTGTGCGGTCCTGTGACGTGATTTGAACGAAGTTAATCGGCAAAGTTACCCGCTCGTTTCATTGATAACTGTTGCGCTTGAGACGGCCGGAGTAGTGTGAGCTTCCGTTCCGGAAATAGGGGTGCATGCAGGCCTGCTTCGCCGAGAGCCGGTGGGCGGGGTCGTACTCGAGTAGGGCCTCCAGCAGCTCGAGACCAGCAGGCTCCATGCCGGGGACAATCGACACATCGGGGCGTTTCCACTTGGGGAAAGTGGCCTTGTAATCGGGGAATGAAGTAACATCGGGCCAGATCTCTTCGTCGGGGGTGCCGAGGACACTGTAGAATGAAAAACACGTTTAGTGATTGGTCAATCACCAAGAGAAAAGAAGTGTCTACCGGAAGATCTTGAAGATTTCGTCGATCTCCGAGTCACCAGGGAATAATGGCTTGCGGGTGTACATCTCGGCGAAAATAGCGCCTACGGACCACATATCGACACCAGTAGAATACTGGCGGCCCCCAAGCAGAATCTCGGGGCAGCGATACCACAGCGTAACGACCTGAGATAGAATGTGCCGGTGAGCTGAGATGCAGTCCGTTTCAAGAATACCGGTGCTTACCTCATGGGTGTAAGTCCGTAGCGGGACACCGAAGGCTCTTGCCAGACCAAAATCGGCCAGCTTCAGGTTACCATCACGGTCAATGAGCAAGTTCTGGGGCTTCAGATCACGGTGCAGGATGCGGCGACTATGGCAGTAGCGGATACCCTCAACCAGCTGGGCCATAAACTTCTTAACCATAGCATCGCCTAGTCCTAGGGTTGCCATCGACGTAGACTCATGGGGAAGAGGCTTACCACGACCACCCTCGCTAGCCGGTAGAGCTTCCATGTATTTCTTCAGATCGAGATCGAGGAACTCAAAGACGAGGTAGAGACTGTGGCCGTCGGCATGGACGATGTTGAGCAATTGGACAATGTTGGGGTCCTGCATTTCTTTGAGTAGTGAGATCTCGCGGATGGCTGTGCTAGGAACACCCTCATCTTCGGCCTCCAGTCTGATTTTTTTCAGAGCGACAATACGGCAAGGATGGTTCAGCTCGCGGGCCTTGTAGACGACGCCATACGTGCCTACAGACAAAAAGACGCGTGAGCTGAGTTCCGATAAGAGCGTATCAACAAGACCAAAAACCGCGTCAAATGCCCGTACCTTCGCCGACTTTCTCGATTTTCTGGTAGTTCTCCATGGGAAATTCGACGTCTGATACTATTCTGGACTTGGTCATATCAACAAAACGAGAGCCGAGAAAATTGGATTGACGCAAGTGGGATGGAAGGTGGGAGGAATGAGGGAGAAGCAAGGAGGAGAGAAGACACGTGAAACTAACAAAACTCACATATAGTCAAGCATTGATCTTCGAGACCACAAAACAAGTCAAGGAAGGTCTTGAGACTACTCGACATTAGAATGGACCTTCATCGCCCCAACCAAGCGCAAGATCGCCCCGCGAAGAAAAATAGACCGACCGCCTTCGCGGAACGGTACCTAGACATGTTGCTACCGCAAAGAATTCCATTGCCTGACAACTGCCTTGAGAAAATGCGAACGCGCTCAAGCATTTCGGAACAATCTTTGTCTCGTCATTGTCACGGGCAGCATTGGGATCGGTAGTCCTCTAGACTTTACTCTATTTACTTTTGCGATTTCTGACTCCCAAACGAATGTGGAAAATGCGTTGTGATTGAATATATATCTCCTGTGACCGTTCATCACCCGTTAGCCAATAATGTGAGGCACATTCACCAAACCACCAACACCACGAGATTCACACCAGCACCATCATGGACTGCTAACAGAGTGCTGAGATTGAAAAGCTAACTACGTGATTGACTCTCATGGTAAAAATGAGACTGAGTACCTAGCCACCTATGTCTGCTAGTCTATAAAAGCCTCCAAGAATTGGTGGACATGCTATTGCCCAGATACTCAAGTTTTCCCCACGATCAGGATGGATGCCCCTAACAGAACGCCAGACCGGGAAAAAGAAGGAGAACAACAACACAGTGCATTGCCAATCGTTTGTGAAAAAAACAATTCGCAGGAAGCTTCTGGTCATATCCCTCCACTGGTAAGTATGGCGGCTCAGCTTCCAATGCTCTTGCTGACCGTTGCAGCTCTCTCCCTCGCAACAGGAAGCAGAAACAAGACATACCTTGGCGACCAAGCCCTTTCAACCTATTTTGAAGGTGCTAGCAGACCTCGAACGCGACGATCCCAAGCTCGCCTTTCCAGCAGGTCGAATTGTCGGACTCTATCGACGCCTATGGGAGTCGTGCGTGTCCAAACACATCGATGGCCAGAAGCCAGAGCAGAGCAATCAGATCTTGAAGGAGGCTAGCAGGCACCTGACTAAAGAGAGGGATGGGCTTCAGCTGCGCCACGACAAGCAGCTGTCTCGGCTGCGCTTCATTGAGCAGGCACTGGAATCATCTCGGGGTCGACTGACTTGCGTACTTGATGATTTCGACCCCCAGTCCAGACTCAATCTACATGTACCAGGGTTCTTGGACAACGCAAGAGAAGGGTGAAGGGTTGCATATTCATGATTACTTTTCCAACTTGGCAATAATATGACAACATTGTAATTGAGAGAGAATTACCGCATGGAAAGCAGCGTACATCTGGAATAGCATAGCCTTCGTGGAATGTTCTGCGAATAATCCCGCATGTTCTAGTGTCGCTTTTATTAACCAAGTACATTATAAACAAAAAAAGTATTGATCCAGTGACAATGTGGGCAGTGTAGCTAGCGGAGAAAGCGTCGATTAACTCGGCCGTCCCGCATTGTATCACGACAGCTACCCGAAGTAGATGTCGCCAGCTCTTACAGACCACCAAACCTTCTCCTTGGAGACCGCTTCAACAATGTTTGAGGAGTGTTGTCGTCTTTTATTCTGCTTCGAATGGCCCTCTGGATGCAATCGTTTCTTGCTAGATCCAGCGATCTCTTCAAACTGAAGATTTTCAGTCTGGGATTGACCACAAGTGCATCAACAATCGAGGAATGCCCACCCTTGACCGCCAACATCAATGGATCCTCAGACCATCGATTCCTGATGTTGACATCAATTTGATCATGGCGTAATAGTGCCTGGACCATCTCCAAGTCACCGCCACGGGCGGCCATGCAGAGAGCAGTGTCGTGAGTTGCGATCGTGCTTTCATTGATGTTCAGACGTGCGCCTTGCTGCACTAAGAGTCTTACCACATCGAGATGGCCATGTGCAACCGCTCGACAAATAGGCGGATCTATTAAATCCATTCCATTAATCTCTACGCCCGCCATACTCAGTAGACAAGTAACCGTGTTCATGCGTCCGTGATATGCGGCAACGGAAATTGGAGAGTGGCCTGCAACACAGATATTCGGATCGATCCCTGGCACCGCAAGCAGCCGTCGTAGGAGCACGGTATCCAACCTGGTCGCGGCGTGGTGTAGAGATGTAGGTGGCGTTTCAAATCTTCCGCGGCCTCCGACAAAATTAACGTTGATGTCTCTCTCGGCCAACAGCCTGTCGGTTATCTCGTCGCATGACGAGTAAGTCGACAGCCAAAGTGGCGTATTGCCATTTTTGTCTTTGCAGTTCACTTTAGCACGGGGGTGACTTAGGAGCAAATTGACCATTTCCAAGCGTTTGTTTTGAACGGCGAGATGGAGCGCCGTAGAGCCTTTCCGGTTCTGGATGTCCAAATCCAGATTTTTTTGCCTGAGAAGTCTTTTGACAGCCTCTACTGACCCATAGGCCACTGCTTGGTGAAGAGGTAGCTCAGCCTCTATTTGGTACCAAGAAACACCTTGGCCATCGGATCGTTTGAAAAAATCATTTCCATCACGGGTCTATTGAAGCGACATGCCCAGTCCCATGGCGAGTGGCCCGAATCGTCCTGTAGATCAGGGTCGCTGCCACTAGAAAGTAGCAGATGCACGAACCCTATTCTGCCTGTGAAGACTGCTAGGTGGAACGCCGTTCGGCCGTGTTTGTGCTTGACGTCCACCTGGACGTTGGGTTGTTCTAGAACGCCCTTGACGGCGGAAAAGGTTCCGTAGTGGATGGCATACCACAGGGCGCTCTCCCGCGCTTGATTTTGAATGTTGATGTCTAGGTCTCGATGATTGAGCAAGAGTTCGCGCACACCAGCGGAAGAGTATTTCAGCGCCCGCATTAAAGGAGTTTTGCCTCGGTAAAAGGCATTGATGTTGGCGTTGTGCTGGAGCAAAGCCTCCGCAAGACCAACGTTGTCGTATTTGACGGCCAGGTGCAACAGATTGCTGTTCTGAAATTTGATATTGTATTTCCAGATGCTGGGCTGCAGTTTAAAATCGAAGTCTTTGCATGATTTTGCGAGGGCAAATAATGCACTACCGTCCAAATACGACACAATCCACAGCAAAAGCTCGTTGGGCAGCTCTGTAAGGTTTCGCTGTAATGTATTAGCTCATCGGTAAAATCAGCAAGAAATTGAAACAGACCATGATTGGACAGGATTGGAGCTAGGAAGCAAATGAAATGTAAATGAGGGTGAGGTCTGAAAGTTGGGCGCCTTATATATCTCGCCTCAGCTAAATTCTGTGGTCAGCTAGAAGTGTAGCCCGTCACTCCGCTGAGGCGCGAGCAATCGCACGGCAGCATCAAAGCCTTGACAAGAATGTTTGGGCGGCGTTGAAGAATCTCTGGAGTCTAGCTCCCGGGAACGCCAAATCAGTTCCTGGTTATGTCGATAGCCTGGAAACCGAATCTATCTTGGTACCCACTTTCATCTAGCGCCATAAGAGTAGATCATAACCTATCACGCACTTCCGAATTCCATAGGCAACCCAGAATTTCACCCAGCATATGTCGACTTTGCTGCTCACCGCAGTAGCCAGTCTGTTCGCCACTGCCTGGTCACCGCGAAGGACAGTCACAAGTGCAGCTGATTGCAGCAGTGATCTGGAATGATATCCCTTCTCGCAGGCCACTGATTGGCTGTATAGTGGCGCATACTGCGTGTGAATGCATTCTTCGACGTACCGACTGTTTCAAGGAAGTGCTCCATGCCAGCCACGCAGCCATGTAGGTAAGGTGCCCACGCGATGGCATATAAAGCTGGCGAGGGAACGCCGCAGTGATTGCCCAACACCACCACTATCCGAAGCATTTTCTGCCTTTGACGACAACCTAAATAACTACCATGCTGCCTTGGAATCCGTTTCTTGTTTGTGAGATAGAGGTCAGCCCCAATGGCGGTCCTGGCTCCTGTTGCGGGATGACGAAAAAAGGCGAGCCATGCAAGAACTCGATCAAAGTTGAATACAACAAGACCGGCCATCAAAAGTTGACCACTCTTGCTAGAGAACCGTTTGACTTGTCAACGTTGCAGTCGAAGCTCTGTGATGCCGCCAGAGACTTCCTCTGCGCAAGACGGCACCGGCAACGGCAGGCCGACCAAGTTGGCCAGCAGTGGTATGAAGCCGCCGTCCGCAACCAGGCGCGAATGGCTTCTCCATCAGTCATTGCACATCCGGGCCAGCGTCAGACGTTGTCAGCCTGCAGCCGCCGCCCTGCATCAGACAACACTGACCCGTCACCTCGCTGGCTCAGACAAGACCCGCCGGTGCGCCTGTCAACAAACCCCGAGCCAGTGCAGCCATTCAATCCATTTGTGACTTCGGCAATGCTGCGGACGAACAGTGTTCCATGGCGCGTTTCGCCAGTCCAACCGGCTATTCTGGTGTCGGTCGCTAATATCTGGGCTAGTTTCCAAGAATTGACGCTCCAGAGTCTCACCCCGAGTGAAGAGGTCGACACCATCCACTGTGTGTTCTGCCTGACCAAGGATGAAGAGTATGCAAAGGAGCGCATGATCTTGCGTTGTCGTCAGTGCCGAGCGCTCTCTCATCTGTCCTGCGCGGAAGAATGGTTGGAAAAGTGAGATACAGGCTTTAGCCCCTCATGCTGTGTGTGGTAAGTGTGGATGACTTTATTTCTGCGACGACCAAGATACTGATGACCACAGTCGAAATGAAGGAGCCCTCGAGGCATTACTCCGCCCGTTAGTAGCAAAGGCGGACAACATGTGGCCATTTGATGCTAGATATAAACCAGGGATAGGTAATCAAAAAGTCAGCTGCTCACTGTTTCTAGTGTCTAGTTTAAACCCAGGTCCAGCCCTTACGTTAGCTTTTCGACATTAAAATATGACGGCTTGATGTTTGTTTCTGCCTGGCTAGGCAGTTTTTAAGTAAATCTCGAGAACAATCCCATTGTGGGTGGCTGGTTTCCTCTAAAGACCTCCCAGCTTCAGCCCCCGCCAAGGACAGAAAAGCCCTCGAAAAGAAAAGCCCGAGGCCCCATACCCAGCAGCAGTCGATTCAACCCCAAAACTCAAACGTCGCCACCGTCTCAGTACCTTCTTCAATAGGTTCAGCCGAAACCAAGATAACCATTGACCTCTCCATTCCTTTTTCATACTGGGGCCATACTGTGGCTAGTCCACAAGTCTCACAACTACTATCCAGTCAGATTCCATCTAGCATCCCAGGGCGTTCGCATACATTCAACACTGCGACCCGTCTGGCACGGATCCTTGTTGATTTCTTTTCAATTCCTTTCCTTATCCTATCCATTCGACGAGGAGGCCCAGACGTAAAACTATCAACGGCGATACCGGTTATCAACAGCTCATATAGGCGAAGTGATGCAGAAGATAACGGGCAGGGAGAATATCCCATTTCCAAATGGCACTTGCATATCCGCGGGGTCGCTTTTGGAATAAACTTGATGCTAAGCTTTAGCAAGCTTTTCAAGGCGGTGAGAAAGAGGGGTTATGGAGCGGTCGGGGCAAATGGTGGCTTGAGGGTCCAATAACTAATAGACCCACTTGCTGACAACTTGTGAATAGGAGCACACAGCCGTTTGGTGAATGTGCCCAGCTTAGCCTCCCAAGTAGCGGCCCAACCTGAATCCCGATTGACTTCTCTCATACCAATATTTATGCTCCTAACTCTTCCTACGGCGCTACAATAATTAAGTTTTACACGCACGGGTGGATACAGCTTTGTTAAGTTAATCATACTTCTGACAAAGCTGAAAGTAGGGGGCAATGTTTAACGGGTAACTGCATTCAATCGCATTACTTGAAGATAGTGGTAACATGTTCACCACTCAGCAGACAGCATACATGCCATGTTCCAAGACGGGTAACACTTAATCTTCTCGTATTTCTATCAGAGAACCAGTATAAACAAGTAGCTCATCTTTTAAGCTCATGGCATGTACTTATGACTTCCGCAAGCCGTCAATATGGCCCTGGTGCAAAATACCAAGTCGAACAAGCTTTGTTGAAATATAAGGCTGACACTAGAGCCAAGGGCTAGGGAGTTTTCCATTGCTCGTCTCACCGATGTTCCAGAGCTTAGCTTCCTTGAAGAACGCAATGTTAGTCCCACATCTATCCTTTGGCCAACATAGTATTGACCTGATCAAAGATATGATAGGTTTGTGAGTCCGTTAATGGAGTTGCTTATACCAGTGCTAACGAAGCAAACATCCTGCGTCTTCCACCCCCAATGGTTGACGTGCCGTAATATCTAAGAATTGGTGGCAAAGACCCTTATTAATGTCTTCAGTGTTTCAACAGGGCTGAAGCAAAGGGACAAACATGATCAACTCCAGAATACCCCGTGACTAGCTGTGTCGGTATCCTATTTATCCGTCTCTTTTACATAGCTACCATGGCGATAAAAATAACCAAAACTCGCAACTACTAGTGACATTTTATATTTAGCAAACCCCATGTTAAGATTCGGTAAGAGGCACATTCATCTGAAATCAAAATCACAAATGCAAATCCATGCAACCAATTCCAACATATTATCGTATGTTGCTGTTGCGGCTCTTAGTCCTTTTGGCCTATGATATCTCTTATGAATCATTATTGATAGCCTGTAAATTGTGTCTTAAGTGGTGGCCAGTTCCCGGAAAGGATCCCTCAATCATTTCGCCATGTGGCTGGCACGCTGCTCTGCCCAGGCCTTGTCAATGGCACATTCAGCCATTCGCTTTAACTCCGTAATGAAGTCGGCGACCATCTTGAAGCGCACAAGCTCATGGTCTGGCAGTTTACGTGAAAATACACGCTCCATCATGATAGTGGCAACCTTTAGTCGGTTCAAATCTTCGTGTGAATGTGGGTCCAGTGGGGTTTGAAGGATGCTGCAGAAGATGGTGAGTAGCGCGGACATGGGGTAGAATATGAGTGTCCTAGAACAGTTAGCTTTGACCTGTGGACAGTATAAGCCCACTTACCAGAATACCCCATCGACCACCACATGTTCTGCCGCCTCGAGGTAACAGAGACTGGATCGACTAGCCTCTACCGAAAGAGCCATACTCGAACTCACTCCATCCACAATGCCACTTTGCCCTTCCATCCATGATTTACACCTACCACTTGCTTGGTGAATAATAGCCATGCAAAAATGATAATTTAGCCGCAGCAAGACACTGTGCATACCCATATTGGGATCAGATGTCTCTAGAGAAAATGACATGGTTGGACGCCATGTCGGAGGAACCGAAAGACGCCACTCTTCAAGCTCGTCATCTAGTTCCCGAATTGACTTGAGGAGCTCGGCGTCGGATTTTCGAAGACTGCTCACTGAATAGAGCTCTCTGTGCACGCGAGCCTTGATTATGCTCAGACGTAGGTCAAAGGGGAAGACTGGTCCCAGGAACGGTGCATCCTCGTCTTCCACGTCCAGGAATGCTCGTTCGAGGTAGCCTGGTGGCAGTGTCAGGTCACAGTTTTCATCGCTGATAGTAGGCGGCTGGTCAGTGCGGAGCGAGATATCTTTGTCCATTGTGTAGCAGATCCAGAATAAGTTTCGTAGTTGTTGGTCCTTTTGCTGGCGGCGTTTATCAAACGAGTAGGCCTGGCCGTCCGGTATGTTCCCACCAAGCACAAAAATCAATCGTGCTGTGATTCCGGCATAGTAATTTGTTGCCTGCATATTTCCAGCCGATAGTTCAATGAGAGTCTAGTCACCAGTCAGTTGCCAAAGTAGCATATACAAATTGAGGGGCTAACTTACCAAAATGGTGAGAGCCTGGGCACAGTCCAGACTAGGACTTTCTTGAAGTACTTGAGGCATCTAAAACTGTGCTCTCGTAGCAAGTAGATCATGGTCAACTGGAGTCATTTTCAAGGCGGCAACCATTTCCTTCACAGGAGGAAGGCGGGAAACGAAGGTAATAAAGGCAATGACACAGACTCGCGCACTAGCTTGTCCATAGCCGAAGGTTGGACCCGGATGTTTGTAAGCTGTTCTGATGGTCTCATCAAAGAGTTCAAAATCTATGATGGGAAAGATGCGTCGCATCACCTTCGAGGCCTTGAATGCCTCGAGGTGGACCTGCAAGACCCAGAAGTCAGGTAATTCGAATGGTTTGAGAGCATTCATATTCATCATAAGGGTATTGAAACTCTGGCAGCGCTCTTTTTCCCCTGGTGCTCGCGCTGGGCTGAGTCTGTCAATTGGGATACTTTGCCCTGTACGAGCTTCAATCCATGCCCGACCTTCAGGGAAAAGAAATGGCGTGCCATTAAGTAGGCTGATGACGCCCAATTCTTTTCCTGCGAAATGAACGCGAGCTGATGACGAGTCTGGGGGCTGATGGGTGCTGAGGGAATTGCTGGCCGTTGTACTGGCCTGAGGAGATTGAGACGTATCCTCACATTCTGTTCGGTGTCAATGAGAACTTTGTTAAATAATTCCTGAATAGTAGTGTACCTGATGTTTGATTTGGCGTCAAATTCCCTGCTATCAGCCGCTCAATGCGGCTAATTCGCTCCGACAGCCGTGTGACTTTGGGGCAACTATATTGGTCAGACACAAGTATAGGAAGTGCAAAGGGAAGAGGAGGTGACTGACCCCTCATCATCACCACCTTTCCTTTTTCTGTGCACTACTCGATCGAACGTGCAAGGGATATTATGGCGGCTGCACCAAATACACTGCGGAACCGCTGCGTCGCATTTAATCTTGGCGACATTAGCGGCGGAATAGGCTAGAGGCTAGAGGGTCATAAGATATACCTTTCGCTTGTAGCATGAATCACAAGCATGGGTGGCCTTCTTACGGGGTTCATCTGCATTCAAATAATCCATTGGAATGATGTCTACAGGACTTGATGCTCAGAGAGGGGAACTCCACTGTATCCCGCGCTTACAAAGATACAAATGCGAGTCGATCAGCTACTCGGGCCCTTTCAATGCTTAGCTAAGCTAGTCGCACCAGACACCTTTGGTGTTGGGGCTCCGGTTTTAGACCATACTTTCGGGCCCTATTTTGGTGCCTAACCATACTTTTCACCCACCTCGTAAAACGTTAATTTTCGTAGCATTTTGGTACAGCAAATTACTGCCATAAAATATTGCATTCAAAAGAGCATTGAACTTGTCAGCCTTGTCAGAGTCCTCCAAAGCAAAGCGAGAGTGGATGTGAAACGCCAGCAGCGGACCTTGCCTTTTCCTAGTGCAAAGTTGACAAGCTTTCTCGAAGCCTTTTTAGGGTTGGAACCTCGTGGAAAGATCAGCCCGCGGGGGAGCATCCGAATTCTGCGGCCACATTACCCGTGTTTCGGATGGAAGGGCTGCATGACTGGTCTAACAAACGGCAGAAGCGAACTTAGATAAATCAGCCGAGAGCGAGGGTGGACTGAGGACTGATGGTCGAAAGAGTTAATTCTCTAGATTATAGTTACATATCTGTCGAATATTGCTTATGATTGTCGTGGTTAAATCAATGCTGCAAAAAGTGACAATTTCCAACGGTCAACTGTGGTCATCGGTAACTGGTGGGCCCTACCGGGGTGTTCATGCTTGAACGACAATCAGATCGTCTTCAGCCGATAAGTCGTCGAGGCATACGATCTCTACCGCCTAGCCTGAACATATATCAAGGGTTTGAGCCTTGTCTGAAGGATCAAATACAATCATGGTTCTCACAAGCAACGAGAAGCGCGCCTCTTCAGACAACAGTGCCGTGAGGCATTGGCAGCCCATTTTAGTATGATACGAAACTACAGTAACTCGCGTCAGATGACTGACTCGGCCTTGTCGTCGCTCCCAGCCAAGTCCGGCTACAGCCATCGGCTGGGGATGGATACGCTTGGTCGGTGACGGAATCCAAAAAGAGCCTGTTGCAGTGCTACCGTGGAGCTAAAGCAAGATTCAAAACAAATGCCTCACCTGATTTTCTGATGAGGCATTTTGATATTACAGTTCCTAATAGTTATCAAGCCGACAGAGCTTCTTTAATCGTCTCTCCGCTTCCTATCTCGCAGAAAGTTACGCTAAACAGTCGAGTTATAGGCCCTTAGAATCAGGGAACTTCTTTTTTCTTAAAAAAAAAGCAATTTTTCGGTTATGAAATGTGCCAAGTGAAGTCGATTCTGGATAAGCTAAATCCGGTGCAGCGGTTTAGGGGGGCAAAATGTGTTTCCAAATCAGTGCAGCAGGAGTAAGCCAATACGCACTGCCGCACACATGTATTGGCTGCCATCTGGCAACTATATCCCCACTGTGCCCTATCCTTTCCTTATAACTCCAGCCTGGTATTAAGTGCATAAATCATTAACTTTTATTAGTAGGTCATAACCAAATACCGAACAGGCTTCGAAACGGCTAGCTCGGGCACCACGACCAGAATCGCACTGCATACTTTTGAGCCCTTGCACAGCCTGGTCTGGCCTGGGCTATCTGTGACTTGATCTACCTTGAGAGTGGCGAGAGGGTCTCCACTGGACGGATATGAGACTCAACTTAACAGTTACCCGCATCAATCCAGGTTCTCGCAAGCTCAACAGGCTTCTCGACGAATGATCAACGCGGGCGGTGATACTGTACTTCTGGGACACCTTGCTAACACCAGGCTGCTTCTGGGGATTTCCCTGTCAGCCCTTCACTGCGATCAAGGGGTTATACCATTTCTTATTTCGGATTATTGCAGTGGAGGATAAGGTACTCCGTACTTTAATTAGAAATTAGGGTTGGCAGCTGTTACTAGCGGAAAGATTAAGAGTCTAGTGCACGGTGCACCTGGCCTACAACCATAAAGTACTTTAATTTTACCGGCTTACTCTAACCCCCAAGATGGCGACTGGGATCAGGCCTGAGAATAGTTAGTCTTTTTGCTGCATACCATACTATACTGGTCTAGTATCAGTACTCGGGCCCTTCCAATGCTTAGCTAAGCTAGTCGCCCCAGACACCTTCGGTGTTGGGGCTCCGGTTTTAGACCATACTTTCGGGCCCGATTTTGGTGCCTAACCATACTTTTCACCCGCCTAGTAAAACGTCAATTTTCGTAGCATTTTTGTATAGCAAATTACTGCCATAAATACTGCATTCGAAGAGCACTGCCTGAGGTATTTAAAAAAAGCAAGTCAGAATGCATTGCATCTAATATTGGTAGGATATTCGCAGTATTCCTCGGCGTACATGCATTTCCCAGCCTTTTCTCTCTCTTTATTTTCTCCAGCTTTATCTCCACATTCCTCGCTTTCTCGATGGACTCGATTCAGGCATCGGCAGCGGTGGCATTGGTGGCGGCGGCGGCGGCGTATCCAGGCTGGCATTCACCCTCGCAAGAAGCTCTGCTGGCATAGGGTTCTTGGCCGCTTTCTTAGCTAGCGATATCGCCTTCTTCTCAGCCTGATCTCTCTCCTTTTGCTCTCGCTTACGTATATCCTTATTTGCATCGCCTTTTGTGAGTGGTCCAACTATCCTGATCTGCCGGCCAGAGGGCCTCGTCGTCCGATTGTGGGTATGGGTAAGAAGAAGCTGATTGTCGGCACGGAACTGGGCAAGGCCCTCCGTCGAATTTCCTATACTAAAGGTTAGATACACGTAAAATAACGGCGAGGAAGCGAGAAACCTACCGCAGTACTACAAATAAGCGTAGACCGGTGTAAAACTCTCTCCACGATAGATAGGAAGCTCTTTAGACGACGTCTCTCTCCGTCCTCGCGATGAATTCTCTCCTTAGCACTCTCATTATTCCTCTTCCTTATTGACGTGGCCGTCCGCTAAAGGGTAGCTAAACGGCGTCGAGCAGCGGCGATATCATTGAGAAGCTTCTGAGACGTCGATCTCGTGTCTAGAACGTCTCGCGGCGGTGACATAGTGATAGAGCTAGCGAGCTCGCGGTCTTGAGCTTCATGTCCGTCTCCATCTCTATCAGGAAAGCCGTCGACCCATATATCATTAGTCTCATCATTAGCATCTCTGATCTCTTGCTCCATGGCTAATTGCGCATCAATAGGGACGATTCCAGTAAGGCGAAAACCTTCCTTAATAACATGCTCCGAGAGAGCATCCATCACCTCCCGAACCTTGACGATTTCGCGAAAAAATCGACTTTCCGGGATACCGAGCCACCCCATTGGACGGTCTCGACGTTATTTCTCCGATACAGCGCTTTATACCGTTGAAATGGATCCGAATCGAGGGGCTGGCATATATGAGAGACATGCGGCCGGAAGGCGTACGGAACAATGCGATTTTCCCAGCATTTCAGGATGAATTCAGGCGTACAGTGAGACTTATGACCGTCGAAAAGAAGAAGGCGATAACCTCGGCAGTGTACCCGGTCTTCTTCTTCGCGTATCGTCTTTATCTCTCGTCGAATCGCTGCATCTTGGCCGTGTCGACGGCGACCGCCATGGCCACGAGCTTCCGCTATTTCATCGTCGCTTTCGGCGTATTTATGGCGATAGACTCGGTGGTTTGTGGCCTCGATAAATGAGTCTAGCCATTCTAATGCTGTGGTATAAGACGAATAGCCCTTCGGTGTCGGTTTTATCGTCCAATCATCAGGCATTTCGTCAATATACCAGCATTCCTGATGATACTGAGCTTTCACTAGAAACCACGGCGGCGTCTTCCAACCATCGGCAGCAATGCATTCAATAGCGGTAATACTCCCGCCATGGGCCCCAGTTGCAGTGAAGCTAATAGGTGAAGCAGATACCACTTTTTGAGCCTTTCCTTCGCTGATTCGGAAGCCGGTTTCATCCATATTATAGATGTCCTTCTGTCGAAACCCATACTGCTTAATACACTGCTCTAGGCGGTCATACCACATCTCCGTAAGACCTACGTCCTCGGCACCCATTCGCTTCGGGTCCTTCGGCTTCTGCTTAATAAAATGGAGGTGGGGTGTAAGCTTTGGCAGTCGCTTAGTGAATGCGAGGCCCCAGCCATGCCAAAGAGGCTTCCGGTCCGGGTTTGATCGATGAATAATGTCATCGGCGCACTGCTGTATCGATGCTGCCGTCGGGGGGCGGGGGGCCGCAGCTATCCATAAAGATAATCCAGTCAAGCAATGCTTTTTCTTGGACCGAGTCCAATGCCTTATTGGTGGCAGGTCGGCCAATTGCTGACCCGGCACCCCGAATACGGCCTAGCAGGGTCTGGTAACTAACGTCGAATTCCCTTGCCAATGGTTTGATCTTCGGCTCATTACGGTCATGGTAAGCGGCCAATGCATTGGCGATTTTGAGCTCATTTTCATCCGACATGGTAGCGAGAAATGGTCGAAAATAAGCTATTTCATGGAGATATTAGCGGGAAAACGTCATGCTAAGGCCAATATTAGATGCATTGCGTTCTGATTTGCTTACATTAAATAGCTGAGGCAATGCTCTTTGGAATGCAATATTTATGGCAGTAATTTGCTATACAAAAATGCTACGAAAATTGACGTTTTACGAGGTGGGTGAAAAGTATGGTTAGGCACCAAAATAGGGCCCGAAAGTATGGTCTAAAACCGGAGCCCCAACACCGAAGGTGTCTGGGGCGACTAGCTTAGCTAAGCATTGGAAGGGCCCGAGTATAGTATCCTATCAAGACCAGTGGGGGGCAATAAGACCGCTAGACTAAAAATGCACCATGGGCAAAATTTCTAGTTGTTACCGTCATTTATTCCTTTGACATATCATATCCCCTTCGCTGTCACTTGCTTGTCAGTTTAGCGTCCTTTTTCTGCCTCAAACAACGCAAACGCCCCACATAACAAAAAGGACGAAAGAAAAGAGATTATTCAGGTGTGCGCACAATAATGCTAAAATTAATAGGGTTCACCCAGATTGATACTTTCCGTGGGTTTTTATGCCTAGATTTAATCTTTCTTTTACATACTCAACATGATTTCGCCCGTTAAAGTTGACTGCTCATTTGATTTACAGTACTTATGGCCACATATGCGTTAACTTTGTCCACGATATGCCTAATAATCAAGCCAACGTTGAGTATTTTCCCTCAATTCCCACCCTTGTGAGCAGGCACTAGGCCCTCTCGTGTCGATAAGCACAGCAGCAGAGGTAGACGTCGCTTGGTAATGTTCCCCATGATCTATTAAGGTGTTCCCGTATTCCGAGATGCCAGTTCAACCTCCAATTTGTTGATCTGTTCTTCGAGATCCCGAGCCCGTCGCTCCGCCACCTGAAGGCATTGATTTTGGTATTAAATCTGGGCTTTGAGTCCTATCCGTTCATCCTTCCCCATTCGTAGCATACCCCGTATATTGTGATTCGTAGCAAGCAGTTCGTGATTCATATTAAGTAGCTTGGTGTATTCGGCGTGGATTTGGCTCATTATCTTCTCTGCTCGTGAACTGACGTGGTGCGCTCCCTGTTCTGTAAAGCGAGGATTCGTCGCCTCTCACGCAAGCTTTGGGGCTTGTTCGCGGGCGGGACTGAATGAGGGTTTGGTGGAGGGACAGCGATCGAAAAGCTCAGTCTTTGTTCTCTGGGGAGGCATGTTGGCGTATTGACGTCTGTAAGACGATTGAGTGCAATGTGTATTCTGAAAAAATTGGAGGTTGAAGACGTATAGAATAGAATAGCTTTTATACGAGTTACGCACAACATTTATATACACTAAAGGAAGGATGCACGATAGACGCCAGAGAGTTTCCAGGGATCAGTCCAAAGCCCCTAGGAGCAAAATAGCTGTTCCCCGGTGCTTTAGGGTTGAGTGTCAAGGATATAGATGAAGCATGCGGAACGGATGGAGATATGATCCGCACGGGACCCACATGGTGTACATGGGTTCCCCTGAACGCGAGGAAGCTACCTTTCTTTTGCTTCCTCGCGCTACGTCTTGTATCTAGAGTCAACTATAGTTGTTCTTAATATTGATTGTTCATCTTGAAACACTATCCACCTCTATGTATACGTGAGACCCTCCCATTGAGACCCGGGAGCTCATGCGTATCGGGGAGCCATAGCAGTGCTTCTGGGGACGGTTCCTGCATTTCTGGAGACGAGCCAGCTGGTCTCCAGGATCTCTGATTTCGTCGGGACCAGGAAGAACCCACAGAAACCAGAAAAACTCCTTACTTTTTCCTTTCTCTTATTCTTGGCTTCTATTTCTGGAAATTTATGCCTACGAATTCTTGCGCTTAGACCGGGAAAGAATCGAACTAGATGGACGGAACCGGTCAAGATGGTTCGCATAACTTGATTCCATGGCGTGCCCGTGCTCACAACAGACTAGATAATGACTTCGACCTCGACCTTCACGCAATCTGGCGAGAGTCTTCTTGTATACCAGCACCACCTCCATGTCTTTGCGCAGATCACGAAAATGATGGGCTAGATTTTCCGAATGCATCGAAGTCTGTGGTACGCGAGGGATCCCCTTTGGTTGAATGTTTTTCTTCCACCCCAACGACGATAACCAGTCGGGCTTCAATTGGACGGGTCCAGATCCTCTGTCGTTCGCCACTCAAGCTGATGATCTTTTCCTTTACATGTCAGCTTTCTTTCTTTTTGAAGAGGTCTACTGCGTGGAGTTGAAGCTTGTGAGATTTCATCACTTAACCGGCGAGACAGTGGGTGAGCATCTGTTCTCCTGCCCCGTGTTCAAACGGCCATGGGAAATCTACGCTATGTGCGTGGACAGATCCTGGAAATCATATCACCAGCCACTGTAGAAGCGATACCTCCCTTCTTCCCATTGTCTTCGTGGCCGCGCACACAACCTCTACCGTATTCCGATCACTCTACTCTGTCCCTGTTAGCGACACTACTCACGACGCCATCCCTGAATCCGTCTTTTTTTGTACATAATCTCCTGGAAAACTATAACTGAATAAGATGCAATTCGTGTGACAGTACTCGTGTTTCCATTGTTTGTCCGAAAGACGTCCGCAAGTCGTCAGTAGTCACGTAATTGCAATATGTTTGTACAGTAGATCAAGTGTCTTTTATACAGAGAATGATAGAATACTTTCGCTTAGTCCAGCCTTTCGCAAGCTGAGTATAAACCAGGACTACATGTAACATGAATGAGTAGGAGGATTTCTTATTACATGTAGCTTGAACGTCACTAGTGCCAGTACTTTTTGCTCTGCCGCGCTCGGCAGTTCTCCACGGATAGGAATTGCAGAAGTTTTAATCTCGGCGGTTCGCCGTTCGCCCTCTAATTGGTGCCCAGATAGACGCCGCACCATTACAGTATTGCCCCCAGAATCAGGCGAAACCCTATTCTTTCCAGAGCTTCTTCGGTCTGAATTCATTTTTATATACACACACACACGCTTTCTTTCCCAGCGCCCCACTCAGAATGCGCTAATCTAACTTTGGCTAGCTGAGGTACCTTCCTTGAGGCGTAGCACCGTATTATTGGCTGCGGGGGAATCTGAGACCCAGCGATCCGGACTAGACTGTCCTTGTGGGTCTCTAGGAAAGAAAACGTGTGTGTCTGGGGGTAAACTGTTTCCGAAATCCTCCGTAGCCTCCAAGGCCAGAACTTAGGAGAAAGTGAACCTTTCCTTGCTTTATGCGCAATTCTATCTGTCCGTATAAACAGCAAATTGATATCCATAGCAGCATCCAGATATAAACATGCACAAAACACAGAGTTTCCTCAAATCTCCCGGGTCTTCTAGAGGGAAAAAGTCAAGAGCATGCTTCTTCGGTGGCGTCCGTGACTCTCTGCTGCTGCGAAGATACCGATCTCTTGTCGTTCTAATTTCTGGAAAGCGTTTGGTTAGAATTATGAAAGCAGGAGATGGAGACATCAAGGCATACATCAAAGCTGCGCCATGCACACATTGAAGAGCCAAACTGTTGGCGACAAGACCATCCCATAGCGACGAGATTGCTAGCGGAGTAGGCTCGAGCTCGTAGCCATTATGCAGCAATATAAGAGTGAAAAGACATTTGGTATAACACCACTGTCGAGAGAGCGCCATTGCTTAGCGTTGAGATCTTCCAGGTTCAGAAGCAGGTTGCGAAGGCGTTCCGCGACTCCAACAATTTGGGTATTCCGAGATGCTGTGTCCTGAATCATGTCTAGACATCTTTGTCTTGGGGGTGAATGACTGGTCTTGGTTCGGTACATGGATAAATGTTACCATGATTGACCCCTCTCTTGG